GATAATATAATCAATATTTCTTTAGTAAATAAATTATTATTATCTTACTTTGCGCAAGTATTAGAAAAAACTTGTTTTGAGCTAAGTGAATTTTGGATCATTCAACATTATACCTTAGAGAGTATATCTTTTCTAGTAGATTTCGTATTGCTTGAATTTTGAGGGAAAAGGAAAGTCCAGATTTCTCAAATTAAAAAAAAAAAAAAAAAAAAAAAAAAAAAAAAAAAAAAAAAAAAAAAAAAAAAAAAAAAAAAAAAAAAAAAAAATGTACTTTCCTCTCTTTCAGTGCTGTATCTCTTTACTGACGAATTAACAACAATAGATAGGCTGTTTTCTCCCGAAAGTTCAGCCTTTGTGTAAACGATTAGGGGAAACCGGAAAAGAAATAAAATAATTTTTCACTCATGAATCGGCATCTTCAAGAAGCATCATCGACTCCCAGTGAGTAAAAGCGACCATCTGGGAAGATGTATTTTAGCATAAAATGGTTTGGAAATCCAAATAACATTAATTTAGAGAACTTTTTATGGATGCAATATATAATTCTTAGATAAAAGTATAAAAGTAAGTAAAAGGGGGCGATGTAGGGTGTTTTTCGCTACTTTTAATTTTTAGAATAGGGCCCCAAACATATTACTGTCGACCCTGTATTTAGATTTGCTAACTTTCTCGATAACCTACCAAGTTCAAATTTTGTACTCGGTAGCACGCGATATCTATCTTCTAAGATAGAAATATTCCACTTCCGGCGAACTTTCTAAGGAAAGCTTACATGCATTTAGGTTTACATATAGAGAAAAATCATGAAAATTCCATGCAGCTGATCTATTCCGTCGCTGAAAATAGAAGCCTACAAAAATTGATAGTGTTGTGTTGCTTCAGCGACTAGATTTCTCACTTTGATGTTGGAATTAGAAATATAATTACAAAGATCTCCACTAGAGGAGATCATAATTCATTATTTTTTCACACATATAAAATCTGGTTAAATATGTTTCCTCGTTTATAAATTACAGAAGTTTTTTTTTTTTTCAATAATTCCTGATATTTTAAAGGAAAATTTTCATGTATTTTTTTTCTTGTAGCAGGTTTAAATAATCGTTGATTGAAACCACACTAATTTTAACTAACAATCTGACACAAATGACTCTTTCATAATTATATTACTCATTAGCATTAAAAAAAACTTAACTTGGGTTGAAGATTACCTCAGAAGATTTTTTTTTTTTTAATTTCTTAATTTAGATGCCATACAGTCTGGTAATACATATCTAATAATACATAATAATAAGTCTGGTTATATTACAGCCATATCAGTGGCCGATAAGACCGCTAAATATTAATTGTTCGATTTGGATTCAAACTCAGACGAACGAATGCGATGGCTGTAAGGTATTTTTCTATGTACAACATGAGTATGAGCTATTCGTTAGAAAGTCCTCCATGAAGGCATCTTTCTCCTTAAAAGCAGATAGTCCTCGTGTGTTTTGTTGTATTCAAATAATTCTTACCTACAAACTACGGCACCTATCACTCTAAATCAAGATGAAAGCTTTCTAAACAAGATTTTTAAATCGGGGTGTGGGGGTTCCAGTAGCCAATCGCTAAAACCGCTGAATACTGGTAATTCGACAGGGGTTCAAATCCTGACGAACGCGCTTGTTCTATGAAAGTTTCTCGGGGTTTTTCTACGTTCAGTGTGGATGATATCTAGTTCCCCTTAGAAATTTTCTCCATAATAGTTTCAGTCCTCTTGCGCAGATTCCAAATCCATTAAATTTTCTTTATTAAATACAATTATAATTCTTTCTTTTTAGAGAAATCGCAAGAAAAAACTGTAAACATCAAATCGAGTGCGATTACGAATATTTTAAAACAGTTAAAAGTTTGAGCGGAAAAGTTTTTTTTTAATACGCTCATAAGCAACTGAAAATTAGGGGAAGAAACAAATTTTAAATTGGCATAAAATTTTGTCGATTTCTACAACAACCTATATAAATGCGTTTTCAAAAACTTCTGCTGAAATATGAAGAGTTGTATTTGTAAAGCATTTATTAGTGAGATCTGTAATTATATACTCAGCTTTTAGTTTTCATAACTTCCATTCATCAGAATAAAGTCATTAAGCGTAAGGGAGGGGGGGGCGAAAAAGTAATTTTAAAGAAAAGATTATTTTTTAAATGATTGAAAATTTCCTGAGCTATAAGTAATTATGTAACTCAAATAATTAAATATTTGCGAAAATTTTGTTGACCTCTCTCGGTCTTACCAATATTTCTGTATAGATATAGAACATAATTACATATCGATAATGAGTATCATAGACAGTGGAGGATGTAGAACATCACATTATCTAATTGTGCTTGTCACAAAAGCATCCACTTTGATAAATGAACATAACTGTCGGGAATCGCGTATGAATGTCACATACATGCTTTATAATACCAAGAATGTTATAAAAATGACGGTTATCTGATATCAGCATTTACCGAACTTTCCAAAATGTTTAAAAATATAATCTTTAAGAGTCGGCAAGTTTGTTTAAAAAATTGTATGCATTTCAATCACAGTGTTTGTCACTATAATCAGAAGCTCGTCATCGATATTTAGACTATTTCTCGATAACCTACCGAGTTCAAATTTTGTACTCACACCGTTTACAGATGGAAATACATGTGGTAAACCGAGTTTTATAAAATTCGATTTAGAGGTCTTAAAATTTAATATTGAAAAACATTTTTGCGCATATTTCCATTTAAAGAATAAACTAAAAATCTCACGGATTTTAAGTTTGCATCACTTTACAGAGTGTGTAAAATAGTTTTGAAATAAAATTTGCATAAAATTAATATAATTTCTGATTTTGGGCAAATTTTTAAAACTTTATACTTTTATGAGGTAAGAGGAATTTTGGAAGTAAAAAACTGTACCAAAAGGAGAAAAATAATTTGTCGGACAGATTAATAGGAATAAGAGTCCCTTTGAAAAATTCCTGTACAGTTTTATAAGAAGAATAACAGATTCTTAAATAACGAGATCAAATATCGAATCACATTGTCAAAAGTATAAGATTTATAAATTTATCAAGAGCGCACGTTTGTTATTCGTGATATAAATTTGTAGAAATTTTTTAAAGAGAATTATTTAATCACGTGTTCCCAGTAAATTATATAATACATTATTTTTCTCATTTCCATTCATTAATAATTTTATGAGTCATAAATAAAAGTTTATTTTGTAAAAACTTGTTTATTTTATTCAGTAATTGTTCTAAAACGAAAATTCTTAATTCCTTTTATATATACATCCACTTTGTAACTGGTAATAAATTTGTTTCCTTAGAGTCAGTGTAAGGCCTTTATCTCAAAACATCAAGAAGACTTCTCCCCACGATAATGACAGCCATTACCCATTGTCGTCAGGGGTTGCGTGAACCCTTGTCCCCTTAGGCAATGGGGGTTGGAAGACGTACAAAAATACGGGCTAGTCGTTTTTGGAGCATTTTTTTGCTAATACAAAAACACGGGACGATCCGTTTTCGAGGGTACATTTAAACTTACAATAATCCGTAACGAACCGTTAAGAGACCTGCATAAAAGAACGAGATAATCTGGGTCAAACCGTTAAAGGGTGAAAGAAGAATATCTATACTTTTCATTAAAAAGTGTGTGCATTTTCACTATATGAATATCTCTCATTTAGTTATGCAATATAGTAAATTAGTGATTAAGGGTATGTATATGTGAAATGTTTTAAAATTTCCAAATTGCAAGAGACAATTAAAAAAAATTATAAATTTACGGGAAACATAGCAAGAGCATCAATTCTGGAAAATTCTAAAAAACATAAATATGAAATTTGTGCTGTTATAAATTTATGCTTTCTTCACCAGTTAGAAACTAAAACTTATATTGATTGTGAATAAAATCTAAAGCTTGTATGCTAATAAATAATATATCTGCTAAAATAAAATAAAGTATCTGACCTTATCTTGGACTTGGACTCTGAGTAGAATTAGTCTCACTCAAAAATTGATAAACAGCTGAGCCAGGTTTCAATTGAATTCAAGCCATGAATATATACATTCTTTTTGTCCATCACTCCAATGAAAAAAGGTAAAACGGTTAATACTAGACACAGAATGAGAGTATGAAAGAAACTTTTAATGAAGAAGTATAGATATAAAAACAAAGAGAGAAGAGTTGCACAATTGTTGACCATGATCTCTTACCGGTACAATTACAACTTTTAAGTTGCCTTTGAATCTGAAGGTTGAACTGTTAGCTGAGAACAAACATAAGGTTCTGTGTAAGTGACCAGTTTTATCTCCAGCATTTGGTTACTTCATTACAGAACATCCACAAATGCTCTTTTCTGTGGAAATTGACTAATATTGGACATGTTTTAGCTGTATATCTTATTATTTTTCTATGTTACACCTGTTGTAATTTGGAGAGCATCTAGGAACATAAGAGGATGGTTCCCTAAATTGAAACAGCTGATATTGAATTAGCAGATATGAAGATATGACCACAGTGATCAATACTATTACATTTTGGAATGAGAAACGTCCTACTCATTGCTAAAATAAAATGTTACGAGATCATAAGACATTTCTGCTGATAATGCAATTTATTTTTACAAAGAAAGTGGCAAAGCCCATCTTATTTAGGGCTCTGATGCACTTTGCCTAGTTTTACTATTTATCTCTGAAAGTGAGATGTGCTGGAGACTGGCTATAGTGCAATTTAAGCTCAGATTCAAACTATAAAAAATAAAATTCATTACTTTTCAATTATAGATTTTTAATATTACCCATTCTATTTTTTGAATAGGTAGTACAATATCTTTCCTATGTTTGATATTTAATGTCAAAACTGCGTAATTGCAAAGTTTATTTTGAGTGAGCATATAATAATGCACAATAAAATTTAATAAAATTAGTTTTTTTGTTCACTATGTAATGTTATGAATAATATTAATTTGATTTTTTTTGGTAGGCTATTTAAATATTCAAAGAGCTCAGGTGAATATTTTGAAGTATGAAATAATGAAAACTAAATTGGATTTACAGAAATACAGAGAAGAAGTTACAAAGATGGCTCAAGAATTGAAGAAAAAGTTGTCTCAAGATGTAATCTTTTTAACAACTTCCTTTCAGATATATAAGTTCTAATAGTACATTTATACAAATGCCATAAACTTACAATATTCTTGTTTTTTTTTTTTTATTTTATTAATTCTCTTACTTTTTCAGCACTAATTGAAAAAGCATTTTCTTTCAAATTTTTCTCTGGGTAACTCAATTTTCCATCAGTAATTTGTTTTTAATATGAAGGAATATATGATAATCTGCCAACAGTTTGCTGTCCTCATTTGATAATGAAATATATTATTAATGTCAGCAAATCGATTAATCAGGTATCATTATTTCTGTGCAAAATTGCATTGAGCAGTTTTATTTTCTCCATTTTGTCTTTGCTGCAATATGAACTCTTTTAATCAGAAAGGTAAATGAATTGCTTCAGCTGTTTCCTAGTTTATATTCAAACACTTTTTTAGTAGCTGTTGTAACTGTATATTTACGTGATACATTTTCTGTCGTGTACTGTTTCATCAAGTGAGAATTGAAGCACTTGTGATTTTTCAGGAAAATATCTGGTCTGAAGTTGGCATTGAAATAAAAAAAAGAAGCCAGCCCCACAATCCCTTTGCTCCCCCCCAAGAAATCATTCTTTCTGGAAGAATTCAGAATTAATTTTAAGGTTGTTGCAATGTTCCCATGGTAGGATGCATTGGCAGATGCTGATTGACAGCCATTAATTACAGGACATTATTTTGTACTTGTATATTATCGCAGTCATCTTAAAGTCATCACTTTTTCAGAATGATCCAAATTCTGGCAGTCATGCAAATAAACATTCTTCAGCAAACCATGCTCATAACAATACTTCAGTCAAGCGACATCACCATTTCTGTATACATTCTTTTTGTTTTACTTCAGGTTCTAACTTTTTTATAGACAACTTGTGATGATTATTGCCCTTAATTTACCTAATCTTAAAATATTGCTTGTGAATTTGTCAAAATTGCTGTGTACATGGAGAGAAGACCGGTGCTTAAAAAAATAGAGAAGGATTTGATAAAAATGTGTTTTATTTTTTTAATGTATCATATAGTCATTATTTGATGATTAATATTTGCATTTTAAAATATTTTTTCTTTTGATATGTTGATAATATTTGTCAACTTATGATAACTATCAATAGTTTTGGAATGTGTTTTAATCCATCAGTAGTTGCAAGGTTAAGCAATTTTGTCTCCCTAAAAATGCATATTTCTCAGTCACTGTGGAAACAGATGGCTGATGTTGTCTCCTTAGATGCTTTATTAAATGTCACTGTCTCTGAGTGAGAAAAGGAGACATTTTTGAAGGGGAAAATATGCATGCATCAGTGATTTTTTAAAAAATAAAAAAAAGTTATACTTTAAGAAACAATAAATTTAATAAAAAAGCTTTATTTGCCATCGTATTTTCATGTTATTAATCTGTTAGTATAATTATGTTTTAGTTCTGAATTTTTTAAATAAAATAAAACATGTTATATAATTAATTTACAAATCAATAAAGTATATAATATTATAATTATGAAAAAATAATAAATACAGTACAAAGTCTTTAATCCGGGCGTCCATAATCCGGAATGATCTATAATGCCGCCTCAAAGCTACAAACTTTCTGCGCATGCGCATAATACATTTACGCATGCGCATATGCATTTACATATGCACATAATATGATTATGCATGCGTGTTTAATGTATAATGGACGGTATAAGCTAGGCTAAAATTATCTAATTATTTATTTCAGTTAATGTTGGAGATTGTGTTGTTCTTTAATCTTCTAATTGGATCCGGCTTATTATTTTTTGCAGACTGTTAGAGCAATTATAAAAAGTAACTTTCGATTATGTCAAAAAGAGTTTCCAATTCTGAAGCTGCCAAAGGATCTACAAAGCGAAAGCATATGTTTCGATGTCCGTCAAACAAAAAGTGGAATTGCTGCAAAAAATGGATAAAGGCATGAAGAAAATGACAGAGAGGTTATTGAAAACGAAAAAATTTCTATTGACAAGTTAGTTGGCATTCTCGGCACAGCAATTACAGGACTTGAGCAGCGGAACTTTGTAACTGAACAAGAAATTAAGTCTGTTTATGGAATCGAAGAGAAAGTATTAGCACATAAAACAAAGCAACTTAAATAACTTACATTGAAAGAAATATTTAATAAAGTAAACAAATAAATATTAAGTTTGTTTTTATAAATTTTGATACTCTTTAGATCATAATTACTCTTTATTTCATAAATTACGGTTTCATATTTTTAATTTTATAATTTCTGCATGCCATTTTACCAGACTTAAATTTATGATTTATAATCCGGAGAAACCCCTAATCTGGAATAGCCAAAGTTCCGACGAGTCCGGATTAAAGACTTTGTACTGTATATATATTTTTATTACCCTAAAGTACTTTTATTGCACTGCTGAAATCTTCTCCACTCAAATCATCTTCCAAACTTCAAAAACAAATATCTGTACTTGAATCTGAATTATTTTCTTCATCTGGTAAAAGATTTTAGTCTTCAGAATCAAATTCCTTGTTATATATATATATATATTATATATATATAATATATATAAAGCTTTAGCTTTCTCTTTTACATCATTTTTAGCTATAATTTACATTCAAAATATAGCAAAAAAATTCCTGAAAAACTGCCAAATGCCGCCTTATTATGTAAGAAATTATTTAGTGCTTTTATCACCATCTATACCAAGTAAAGTAAATTATTTATGAGTTCCACTCACTTGTAGCTTTAAAAATCATTGGATTATTTTGAAGAATGAGCCCACTTCATCTACGTGCATTTAGGCAAAAACCTAATTCTCAAGTGGGATTTGTTTGTTACCATTTAGGTAGAAATTTGTATTTGAATACAAATACGTGTATTCAGACTGCGGTATGTAACTGGAATGCAAGTTGAGCTTGTTGATAATCTTCAAAACGGTGTAAAAAACTGTCTTGAACATTGCGAATGTGCACCCAATATGTAATCTTTTATTTTATTTTTTTTGGGGGGGGGAATTCAAATTACACCAAGGTGGTTGTGTTAATACATAAGTACCTATTACTTTATGTATAATGCAAATATTTCATATATGCATTACAAGCTTGACTGCTTTTTGGTATTTTATAGCTTAATAAAAATTACAGCTATCATAAATGTCCCTTTCATATGAAAGCAGCAATAATGCAAATATTGAAGTCTGTTTGTGAAAGCACTTTTCCATTGCATTATTTGCGTGCTGCAAAAATTTTACTCTTTTAATTTTGGGATTACAATTACTCTCTTATTGTTGCCTGAAATTAAAAATAGTCTTTATATTGGCCAAATACTTCTGGTAGCATTCTGCATAAATTCTAATGTATGGAAGACTGAAGAATTGAAATAAATTTCTTTCTCATGAGTAATAGTAAAGTTTATTGATTTCATCAGAGATTATCTTAGATGGAAGACTGAAGAATTGAAATAAATTTCTTTCTCATGAGTAATAGTAAAGTTTATTGATTTCATCAGAGATTATTGTACAGTGTTTGTGGAGACACTCAACTGACACAAATTTGAAAGGGTCGGAATTTTCTAATCTCTCGCACAAGATCTGTTTTGCCCTAGTGGTAGAGGATTCGACTCCCATGTCATTGCCCTCAAATTGTGTCCTGGAAGCCAAGCGACCTCTCAAACACTATTTTGGATTTGATCCAGAGATGTTGCCATGAGCAAGCCTCCACTAAAACACCAAGAGCACTGAATGACTGCGAGCTGTGAATCATCAATGGCCTCCCAGCTACCACAATAGGGTCCTTTGGGACATGACAGAAACATACACCTCTTTCACTCGTCCACCTGGGGAAAACTGATGAACTATGTCACTTGCACTACCCATGGTGCCTTGTTCCGCAAATGCTCAATGGTCTTAACTAGCCACTCCCAAACGAACAGAGCTAGACAGCCCACCAACACAACAATCAATCGCATCAAACATACGGCTCAAAATGCAGCGAAAAGTTTTCCTTCCTGATTAATATAATGATGCTGAGGAAGGGTGTACAGCATCTGCAGAGCCACTCAAAGCCTGCAAATTTGAAAGAGTCAGAATCTAGCACACAAGAGCTCTTTTGCTGTGGTGGTAGAGGATCTGACTCCCATGTTACAGCGTCAAATTCTATCCTTGAAGCCAAGCAGTCTCACACCATGCTTCTGATTTCAACCCATAGATGTTGCCACGAGCAAGCCTTTGCTAAAACATTTTATCACCAGCGCAGGAGACTCTGCATCGGAAATTCTAAAGATATGCTCATTTTAAAATTATTTTGCGATATTGCTGTTGAACTGAATTTTATGGTTCAAGTGCAAAGAATATGATATTTAATAAATAAAGGTAACGCACAGAATGTTAAAAAAATGCTTCTTTGGACGTAATTTAAAATCTGAAAGCTTTCAGATTAAATTTTTTTTAAAATTTATATACTGATGTATTTAAAGAATTTGCAATTGATTTCTGCATGGGATTTTCTCTTGTTAATAGTGATTTCACTTTAGAAACAGACGTACCTTGTTTAGGTATTCATTAGGAGTCTTCTTTCGATGTTAAAGTAGTATTTGACAGTTTTTCCCTTCTGATTAATAATACGGCTTATTTTTTATTTAGAAAATTTAATGCCGCGTATTTTACAGTGTTTTTGAATTATGGAATAGGAGTATTTCTTTTCGAAAAGTGAAAAAATATATTCTTCAATTCACAACTTCTTTACCTGCAACATTTTGAAAGAATAATAAATTTAACAGCAGCAAATGATATTTCTCATTTCAAAAAATAAGCTCTAGCCAGAAATTTTTATTCTGAAATATTTAATTTTTTAAAAATTATATACTGAAATTGTTCTAAAATTGTCTAAACACCTTTTGCAGTTACATTTTTGTACCATTATCCATGTTTGGTGCTATGTGGTACCCCATTAACAGAAATACGTTTTTTAAATTACTGTTACAAACAATTTTAATCAATTTATATCCATCATTTACTGAATAAAAGTATAATTTGATTTTTAACCATACAGACTCAAGGCATTGAGAAAATTAGTAAAGAAAATGCCGAGTTACGTTTGGAATGTCAGTGCCTATGCATGGAAGTGGATTTTTATCTGAAAGGCAAAGGTTTGTTTTGTTTAAATTTTGTATACTTTATGCTAAAATTCAAATCATTAAAACTTTATTACATTAATTCCTTAGAACAACTTAATACAGGTAACAGTTTTATCATTCATTTACAGTAAGAACATTTATTTGTATTATATACAGTGTTTTATAATTACTATTGCCTATCTTCCAATTTTGAGGAATTTGTTATTTTTATGAAAATCTAATTTTACAATTTTATGAACAAAATTCATTTAAAAAAATTTCAAAATTTTTTGTATAGGTGCCTAAGATTATGTGTAAGTTTGAAGATTTGTCTTAAAATCTGTAATTTAAATATCTATATTTAAGTTAGTGTTTGAATTCATTTTCCTTTTTATATTAGAAACAAGTTATTTCCTTTTTCGGATATGAATTCTTTTGTTTCGCATGGCCAAGTTTAGCAATGTATCAACGTTTTGGCATTCTGAATTGCAACTGACGATTTGCAAAGTTCATGACAACTTATTTTTAATAAATATAATAATGTTATTATGACTTATGTAATAAATTATACAGGTAATAGTGATCTGTTTGAATTATGTTTTTTAGAAAGATATTGATTTTCTTCTGCCATTTAAAAAAATATCTAATCTTTTCATTTTGGTAATTTTTGAGTGTCATAATTTTAAAATTCAAGTAAGATAACAAATATGAAACACAGTTTTCAAATTACTTTTTCGCAAAAGTAAGATGCATACTACCTTTATTTTTATTTATTTTTTGGTTAATATCCTTTTTTAGGTAACTGTCTTTGGTTGCATATAGTTTCAAAATTTGTGTCATTTTTCTCTAAAAGATTTATAGTTAGCAATATTTTAATTGGCATTTCAAGGCATAGGTAATTTTCACACAGAAGTTAATTATTTTATTATTTAATCTAGAAATGATATATTTTATAAAAGTGAATAATTAAGTGTACTTGAATTAATTTAAACTACTATAAGCCATAATATTTAAAATACCTATAAAAACCAGGTTGCAATAAAATAATAAATGCTGGAGTGACAAAAAGTTAAGTGAATAAATTATATATACAGCAAAAGCTCAACTATCTGGAGAATTTGGGGAATACTGAATTCCAAATATGTTACAATTCCACAAAAATGGAATTCGGAAATGGATGGAAAACTGAATTCACATTAGAAAAGACAAATCACTGGGGAAAATCATGCTCGAAAATTATAAAAACAATCATTTTGTTTGTTACCAACTTGAATATCAAAAGCCCACATTTAAAATTATATAAGACCTTTTTTAAAAATATGAATTTTAGATGTAAAAGTTGATGTATTTTGTAGACCTTAGATATAAAAGTAAAACATCTGATCTTATTATGAAATATTGCTGAACATGAAAGCTGGCAGAGGTGTCACCAATCATTCTGGCAGAAGTTTGAGCAGATTATTCTTTTTTTTAGCTAGATAATAACAAGATCAAAAATTATGCATATAGCATATAAAAAACTTAAATTACTTATAATTTTTCACATTACGTTGCCAGGGTTTATCCATTTTTAAAGTCATGTATCATGGCTTGTATTAATGCCCAGATCCTGTAACTTTGAAAATACTTCACTTCGTGCCGTCTCAAATATTAATAATTTTTTTAAATGTGAGAAAAAGATATATCCTTCTTTATGAATATTAAACCAGCTTATCAGAAATTAATCAAATTTGTATTGAACCAAAATGAACTTATTATGATTATGAGCATGGTTATTCATTACTGGCACTCAGTGTTTGGTGATAATGTATACATATATTAATAAGATTATAAGCTAAGATAACAAATATTATTACAAATATTTATAAGATAACAAATATTATTACAAATCTCTCATTTACTAAATTTTCGGGAAAAAATTGCCTAAAATTCTAAAATATTCCATTTTAGTTGAATGTTGTATAGTTGGTTTCATACTATATTGTGAATAAAATTGAAATAATTAGACATTAAAAAAATTTTTTTTTTCTAGCTCGATTAGGGGATGTAAATGAAAATGTTTATGAAAAAAACAGAGTAGAACCGATATCAGAAGCGTGTAAGTTTATATTATTTCTCTTTCATGTACTTTGAAATATTATTATACAGTCAAAAGTCGTTAATTCGGACACCCATAATCCGGAATTGTCTATAATCCGGACCTCAAAGCTGAAAACTTTCTGCGCATGCGCCGCGTTGGGACATGCTCACAAGCGTTTTACGCGTGCGTGTAAGATCTTGACTACTGTGCATATGCGTGTGCGCAAGTGCAGAATACGTTTTCGCCTGCGCGTTTAATGTATAACGGACGGTGTAAGCTAAAATTATCTAATTATCTATTTCAGTTAATGTTCATGATTGCGTTATTCCTTAATCTTCGAATTGGATCCCGCTTATTATTTTTTGCAGACTGTAAGAGCAATTTTATAAAAGTAAACTTGAACTTTCGATTATGTCAAATAAAATTTCCGATGCTGGAACTTCCAAAGGATCTACAAAACGAAAGTATGTTCCGATGTTCAACAAACAAAAAGTGGAATTGCTGCAAAAATGGATAAAGACATGAAGAATGTGACAGAGAGGTTAGTGAAAACGAAAAAATTTCGATTGACAAGTTAGTCGGTATTCTCGGCACAGCAATTACGGGACTTGAACAGCGGAACTTTGTAACTAAACAAGAAATTATGTCTGTTTATAGAATTAAAGAGAAAGTATTATCACATAAAACGAAGCAACTTAAACAACTTACATTGAAAGAAATGTTTAATAAAGTAACCAAATAAACATTAAGCTTTTTTATTTTGTAAATTTTGATACCCTTTAGATCATAATTGTTCTTTATTTCATAAATTACGGTTTCATATTTTTAATTTTAGAATTTCTGCATGCCATCTTACGAGATTTAAACTGATGATCTATAATCCGGAAAAATCGATAATCCGGAATCGCCGAAATCCCGACGAGTCCGGATTAACGACTTTTGACTGTATATAGTTTGGAATATAGTTTTATTTATTCATATTTATAATATATATGCAATAATAAAGCTCTTAATTCATTATGACTTTATTTATAAATTGATATGTTAATATGTGAATAAACATAAGGCATATATACAGATCTGGATAAAATGCTTCAAGAAGAAATAATCTTTTATTGCAAAGGGCTAAATTAATGTCATTAAACCTTTTAAGTTTCCATGTATAGCCCATTTTTATTTGAGTTGCTATACAGTATTTTAAATATTTTTCATGGATAGTTTCTATGTTTGCTATTTATTTATTTACATTCTGTTTTTAAATTAATTTGTCTGTATGAATTAAAATTTCTTTAGAAGATCGCTTATTGATTTTTTTGTTCCCTGAAAACTATTTTTGATGCATTCTGACTTTTCATGCCCTTGGTTTCAAACATGGAAAATTAGCATTTGGTGAATTTTTGACCATACACAAGACAATAGCCAATTCGCACATGCATGCTTGAGGGCACATGGATTTATATGTTTTATATTTAATTATTATGTCGCTGAACAGTATTTACTGGCTGTAAAAATGTAAATATTGGGCAGAGAAATTTTTATTTTTTCCCTGATAAAATTTATTGTTTCTTAGAAAATGCTTCTTTTCATTCTTTATGAACAGCTATAAACTACCTACAAGCTGTAAAGATAACCAAACAACTGTTTTTGCCAATTAACAAAGTTGAAAATACATTTATAAATCCCATTCCAGTTGGAAAAATAGATAATCTAAGCACTGTTCATTTAAATAATGAAATGAAAAAAATTAAATGATAGCTGTGTATATAGTTTTTTAATAGCTACATAATGGATATTGTTGAGAAATTATAATTTAAAGTAAGTAAAATTGGAGTAATTCCTGGTGCGATTTGGTGATGTTCATTTTAAGTGGAATTCTTCAGTGGAAAGTCAAATCTTTAGATAAATCATGGAAGAAATAAGAGCAGTTTCTCAATAAGAGAGGAAAATAAAAGCTCATGAGGGAGGGGATAAGTGCTGGAAATTACAAAGTAGATAAATTAATTTTTTTTTTTTTTAATTACTGTTAGAGATATGCTCAGATAATTCTGAAAGTACCAAAAGAAAAATAGCATAATGAGAAAATGCAGAAATAATTCTAAAATAACTAGGGAGAAAAACTGATCAAAGAAAAATTTAAGATATTTTTAAACATTATCTCATTGATAGCTGTTATTTTAAAATATTATTTTGATTTTGCAGTTTAATACAAAATTGCATTTAATGAAATTTTAGTTATGTTGTCTATTATTTAACAAAACATGCATGGTTGTAGAAAAATGATGCTTTGTAAATTAAGAACAAAATTGAATTAATCGGCAATTGAAAAAAAAAATAGCACTGGAATCTAATAAAACCAAATGATTTTGTACCAAAGTTCTTAATATATTAGTTCAAAAGCATCTTTTATTAATTGTTATTATGTTGCAGATGTCCATAAGTATTATCCGTTGGTTGATATGATCTATTCAGAAAGTTCCAGCACTAATTTTTAATTTTCAGAAACAAAGAAAATGAAAATTAATATTCATCAGAATAATTATATCCAGCAGACATACACTTTAATATATAAATGTATAAATTATTGAAACAGGTTTTCTAGTTATATATGAAGACATATCAAAGTTCTGTTTTCACACATTTCTAGTGTACTGCACCAGAAAATTTATGCCGTTTAGTAGTGAATTTCGGTTTCAGAAGCCAAAGATAGTCTAATGCTGCAACTCAGGAGTGTAGGGAGGATCATTAATTTCTTTGATATGGTGAAGAACTGTTTCAAATAAGTAGCATTGTGTGGCCTCGTGTAATCATGTAAGAGAAAGTGGATACTTTTCTTTCAAAATCGAAGTCTAACATGATTACTCTTTTTACAGTCTATCTAAAACTGTTGCAGAATATTATTTATTGATATTCTAACCTAGAGGAGCAAACTCAATAATTCCCTGCCAATCAAAGAAAGTTATTATATATTAGTTATAATATTATTTATTGATATTCTAACCTAGAGGAGCAAACTCAATAATTCCCTGCCAATCAAAGAAAGTTTTAATATCACTTTATTGCTTTGTGATCACTTTGTAACATCTCTTTGTGAAATGAATTTGGGCTATTGCAGAGAGTTTGGTGATTGCCATTCTGCACTTCTTGTTTTTCATTCCAGCTCGTGTATCAGCTTTTAATACCTATTATAAATGAGGAAAAAAAAAAAAAAAAAAAAAAAGGATCACTATCTGCAACCTCAATCAAGATCCTTGCAAACTCCCTTTTACATTGCTTTTTTTCAGCCATTATAAAATGCAGTAAAAATCTTGCAAATAATTTTCTTTTAATCATATCTTCTTTTATAATAGAATTCATTCTGTTCTTACATCCTGACATATGTTCAGCTAATCTACTAGCATTCTGTATGTCATTTGGCAGTCTGCAGCCATTGAAACATGGATTTTCTCTCCCATTTTTCTTGTGTTCACTTGCCTGTTGATTGGTCAACATTCCAATCATTTTCTTTGCTTTCCCTTTCATCACAAAATTGTGAATACCACCTAAATGTGCAAGACTAGAAAACTGTAGTGTCCTCATATACATCGAAGGGCCATTGCATTATGACCACCCTGTTAATAACATGTAGGTCCACCTTTAGCTCTCAAAACAGCCAACACCAGGCAAAGCATTGACTCCACAAGGTGCTGATGTATAGACTGTGGTATCTGGTACCAATTAGTCCTGCAAGACTGGGCATCTGGTAGACTGAGGTATGTGGCTCACCAATTTGTCCTGCAATTCCTGCACATTGCGGGGGAGGGGGGTAGCACAGCAACATGGATTTGATTTTCTAGGTGGAACCACAAATGCTCTATTGGATTAATGTCAGGTGAATTTAAAGGCCAAGCCATGACATGAAAGTCACTTGAATATTCCTCGAACCACTTCCTGACAATTCGACCCTTATGACATCTTGGTAAACACCATCCCCAGCTGGAAATACTGTTGTCATGAATGGGTAAATCTGGGCTGCAGTGATGTTCATGTAGCACACAGACGTCAGGAACTGTTCTATGGGAATTATGGGTCCTAATGGGCTCATGAAAACATTGCTCACACCATAATACCCCACCACTGGCTTGTCTTCATGCAACTGTGCATCCGGGAGCCAGGGTTTCATTTGGAAATTGGCTTATTATTAACACACGCCCATCAATGTGATGGACCAGAAAACATGATTCATCAGGCCATGCAACTTTCTTCTATTCTTCTAATGTCCAGTTCTAATGTTTCTTGGCCCATTGCAGATACAGCAAGCGATTGCAGTGCAGGGACATGCTTCGGCCTCCGGCTGCATATGCCCATATGCAGCAATGTATGCTGCAGAGTGTGTTGCAAAACATTGTCAGGGTCACTACTTTTGTAGCTGGTGGTGATTTCGGCTGTTGTAGCTCTTCAGTGATGGCAAACAATGCATGGCAATCTCCGCTTTCTTCTGGAATCAATGCACCATCGACAACACACTGCTGGCTCGCCGACTTGTCATTTCACCATCCATACACCACTTTTGATATGGGCTCACAACAATTGCATGTGAACAGCCCACTAAACGTGCCATTTCTGATATTGATGTTCCCAGTCGCTGAGCCATAATAATTTGACCTTTTTCGAAGTCTGATAAATAAGCTGCTTTTCCCATTATGTTGCTAATTGTACTATGTTTGGAAAAAGAATGCATAGCTGCTTTGTATATTCCAACATCAGCCACGCATACGCAGTGGTTTTGTTCCTGGGCGATCCCATTGTTATACGAGGCACGTCCAGAAAGTAAGTTCCGTTTCAATTTATCTCCGCTACAGCTCTGCGATCGCAGTTCTGCACATGTGCAGTAGACGCTCTGTATCAAGGAGAAGAAATGTGCGCCATTTGGAGATCGCTGTCAGTCACGTACGCTTTGTTGTGCTTGTTTACAATGTTGGTGTTGATTGAAAATCCCGCCGCTTGTGAAATCAGATCTGTGATTCGTTTTCTGAATGTGA